TTGGCACCTGTTTGGCTAATGCGTACTGATTACCTTAAGTGAAAAACCAACAGTTTAAAGATAACTATCACTCCTTTTAGTTTATCTACTCCTCTAAGTAGCTCATCTAGGAAGCAATTAGATTAATGTGCAAATACGTTTGACTATTTTAATGGTATCACGCAAACAAAGAAAATATTAATTTCAAGGGAATCCAACAGTACCAGTCTGTTGTACTCATATATATAAGGCACTCAACTATATCTACTCACTTCCTTAGATCGTCGAATTCTCAATCGTTCGGTCTAGCTCGGTCTGTTCATGTTACTAGCAGTATTATTACACAAAATCTTTTTCCTATCAGTAGATTAGGGAGCTGTCACTTCTGTAACAGCTACCGTTTCAACCCACATTCATAATTCCAAGTACTGACATAAATTAACGACCGGGCCTGAAAATATTGACATGAGATTAAAAAGCCGCTTTTTAGGATAAACGGACTAGTTAGTGCGTTTACACTTATTTAGAATCTTTAACACGCAGTCAATATGGCGTTCGTCCCTTCTACTTGTTGCAGTGACCCTGTGTAACCAAAGAAAGCAAGCTGGAGAGATACAACTTCCGAGGCGCTAGGTCATTGTTCTTATCGAAACATATTAAATTTGCATGCTAACTGCCGCATCACGATGCGTAGTATTGTTTGAGGTGTTATAAAAGCTGCGCAGTTTTAAGTCATTCATTTTTCAAGTAAATTACACTACGTTGCTCTGGGTTCAGTCATTTTAATAGCGGACAATGACTCGTTTTCTCCTATTTGCTCTTCTGGCAACAATTATATGCTTTATTGCGAAGACCCACCAAGTAGAAGGACAGCTTACTTATAACTGGAAGAAATTCAATCGTCCGTCGAATAGAGGTAGACTGCCAAAAAAGCCCGGACGCTCAGTACTTAACGTAAGTATTGTACCAAGTAGTATGTCAGACTAATTCCTTGAGACAGTGTACTGGGTATCAATGTTTTTTTTCATCGACTAACAACGGTAACATAATAGTTCTTCTGCTGGCCGAAACCAAGAGCGAAACTCTTGGCGTGGGTCTCTACAAAGACTTACATGACTGAGACCGGCAGCCAGATTATCAAGACGGCAGTATGGAATTTAGGATTTCAATCAAACTATGTCACTTATAAAATGGGACTGTTCAGCAAATTATTTTCATTAATGGTGCTGATGATTCGTGTTCCTGTAGCTGACCTGTTGAGAAATGAAAGAAGTTAGTATATTCTTCTGCTCGAATTTCAAAAGTGACGAAGTAATGGAATTTAAAGCCCTAATAAATGTTGTGAGGCACAGTCTCTTGAAAAAACCATTTGACAACATGTGCATACTAACTGCGTATGCGAATGCTCTTTTTCTTCTCCCGATCTTGTTTTTCTTCTTCCAAAGAGGGCGTACATGGTTGAAGTATTCTTGTTTTTGATTTGGCTGTCGTTCGTGTCAGAATTGTTTTTGATTTCAGCTTAAACGTAAAACATTCTATTAGATTCGAATTTTCAGTTTAACAGTAATTATAAAAGAAAATGCCCTAGTTCGGACCAGCCGACTAAGATACAAATCCTTCTGTGTTTTATAGGGAAAGAATGTGTCTAGTTTTATAATGTTTTATATGACGCGGGAAGACTGTCGTTGATACGATCACGTGACCAACCAAACTATTCAGTATCGACTCGCCGGAAAAACGGTAAATCTTTTTTTGGCTTATGATCGGGTTTTGCGTGTGAAAACGAAACGCAGTACACAACGGTCTGTTTAAGTGCGGGCCAATCAATTCCCTGGGTCCGGTATACTCGCATCTAAAGAAGCGCTTTCCCGCCATTATTTTGGCTCCACTCAAGATTGACGTGTTACTCGTGAACTTAGCATAATTAAGCACTTGTTAGTACAATATATTTACTTATATGGATCTTGTGATCTATAACGGGTTTTGCATATTTAAAAATATGAGGGAGCCCTTATAAAGTTGCAACAATACTTTTTTCTAAAAAGGAAAATATAATACAGTACAAGTACAAATAAAGAGAACTTGGGGATTAAAAGTGCCCGCTTAGCGTTTAGAATCTGTCTAAATGGATTGGGCTACAAACAACGAGAACGTAATCTAGCTTTAAAAATTACTGAGAATTAATTTCATCGGTGTAATCCGTTAAAGAAATTGTATTTTATGTTTGCCTTATCTGTCGCAAGATTAAAACGTCATCCCTTATAAGGTCAACTTGAGAAGCAAATTCTCTATTTAAGAATCCTTAACACTCTGTTTACCCCCGCCCCCACCCCCCGAATTTTGCACGAGCTATGGGTTTGATTTTCCTGGGAGAACTGCAAACTTACGCAATTTTTTTTTTCGGGGTGGGGGGTGGAGGGCGGGGAGGGTAAACAAAATGCACAAAATGCAGTATGGGGATTCAATTCCTCGAATTCGCAGAAGTGAGCCTGCTCGCAGAATAAATGTGCCCTTTGTAGTTTCACGCTGTCACACGGTAGAAAAACACTTTGAGAGGACGCAATTGATGTCGCTGTGCGACTTTAAAAAAAGACGAAAATTAGCATTTCAGTTGATGCTCTCTCTCTATCTGTTCTGTTCTTCTTGCCCCATTGTGTCATTTGCAGCCCAACAATATAAGTGTTCAGTAAATGTTAACCTGAAAAGGGCCCATTGGCCAGTTAACTCATTTTACTTAAAATATGAGTCATCTGTTACAGCCAGGACAGCCCATTGAGTATTTTATTTGCCGAACTTGAATTTTATGATTTAATCTTTTAGAGTTATACAAGAAAAAGGGCCATTCCAGCTGGAGATTGTAAAAATCAACACCAGAGTGCCAAACACAGCGAACAGGAGACGGACGAAGCCACACGAAGACGGCTAATGTTCATCACAAAACTCCTCCAATCTCTCACCTAAGCCAGCTCCATGAGAGTGTCTAATCCAGAACTCAGATTATATTGAAGTTAAAAATACCCATAACAAGCTGAATAATAAAAACGACTTTATTTCGTTGTCAGTTTATTAGTTGAATGCAGCGAAAACTATTTAAATGTTTTACCTCACCCTCTAAAGAGGAGCCTGCCACCTCAGTTTAACTGATCATGCTCATTCGAGCCAAGGCAAAGGCGGGTCTGGCAGTTTGCAGCACAAAGTTATTACTTTCTTCCTTAGTCATTATACAGACCCTGAGTGTCCTGAGATGAGGCGCCTTTTTTTCAAGAGAGAGAAATATGGGGATATAAAGGACAGGAGAGGACAGCGGGGTGGGAGCACCGGGAGAATAGGGGGTGGGTGGGGTACGGGAAGCGGGAGGAAGGATTTTTAAAAGAGTGGGAAGCGGGAGAAATAGACAGAGAATTATGCAAAATACCAAGAGCCCTTATGGCTCTTGAAAATGCTTAATATTTCGCGATTGGAAAAGGGCTAAAGCGATGAAGCTAAGAAAAAAGGGGCGAGAAATGAAGAAGCAAGGTGTGGGAAGCGGGAGGTTAGGACCCCTCCTTCCCCTTCTAACGGAGGGCATGTTCGCATGCTAGACCCCGAGTATTAGTCCTACACACTCACTATACTGAGCTAACTCTTCCGCCAGTTTATTTATGTTTATTGGTTTTTTAGCTGGCTTTTCAGAAAATGAAAATAGCACATTTTTATTCTTTAGTCAATCGACTTCGAAAATATGAGTGTACATCTTTAGTGTTTCAACGGGGAACAGCCAAGCATCGTGTCGACAGACCTTAGCGAGAGGCTGGTTATAGGATAGGGCTTTTGAACCAATTCTCAGTTGCAGGGCACTCTTAGAGGTGCGGTAATTTGGTGCAACGTTTCTCTCAGCATAACCATTATAGTCTTACTAGTTGTACAGCACTGTTTATTCTTTTACTACCCGCGCTCTCAACTTGTCGAGGAACGATGTTGTTGCAGTTAATTTTTTGCATAAGGTAGAAGAGCCCTTAATATAGTTCGACTTTGCGTAACAAACACTGCAAGTTGAAACAAAGATATATTGTTGAGGGCCAGGTTGTTCGCAACGAGTTGTACGAGGTACACTGATTTCCAACAATGTTAAGCGGAAAGTTGTATAAATTTTCTGCCCGTATCACCGCACCTTAACTAAAAGTAAAAACAGACTCAGGGGACGAGAATTATACTTTCGACTGGCTGAAAAAATGAATTTGTCTTACTCGTCTTTCTCAGACTCTGAATGATACGGCTCAAGGACCTATGACCAATTAATTCAAAATTCCTATTACATCAGCTTACAGCTTCCAAAGCCTCGATTGCATGAACTCATTTTAATTTGCATTTTTTTAAAATCAAATGTTTCAAACTGAAGCTGGAAACAGTCTTACTGAAGTTTTCTTTTTAATATTAGTTTTGATATGCTAGCATGGACTAATTTGTTAAACCTTATTCGCTAGCAAAACTTGATGCTCGATTTTCATAGGCTGATTAACTGTCCGATTTCACATGAACGATTACAAACAGCCTCTACTGATCATCGGACAGGTCAAATTGGAGTGTTCTCGTGCCGTTGAGCAGCCAAATTAAGCAATAAATCAAGGGCTTTTAAAAACCAATCAGATTCGAGCATTTTGTTATAGACGCAATTATGATTATGATTGTTATTATTATTACGATTATATTATTACTATTTTTAATAATATCATAATGATAACTATTATAACTATGCCATATTTATAAAGCTCTCTTGAATAGACTTTACTTCCGATAAATTTGACACTTTCTCTGGTAGTTTTTATTAGCATCATAACCTCTTTAATCTTTCGATGTCCTCCTGAGGCAAAACGATGTAAATAATAATGGAAACTTTATTTTTGTTTTTGATTGTACAATTGTAAATCTCACTACGTATAGGCAATTTACAATTGGCTGCTTGAGATTGAATTACATTATTACAGGAAATTTTGGCGACACTTTAAATTAGCGAATTTAGCGATTTTTCTTAAAATCGCTAAATTAAAATGCACCAAAATTAAGTGTCACTAATTTTATATCGTCACTAAATTAAAGTGAGTACAATATGAAATTCCGCCATCTGGTCAATTCACACACATACGCTATTTGACGGTCAAATGTACTTGATACTAGTAAGAAGGTAACTTCTATCCAAGGCCTTTGATACAGTAAATCATGACATTTTGCTCGACAAATTAGAACATTATGGAGTACGTGCTATTGCTTTACAATGGTTTAAAAGATACCTTTTATGTCGAAAACGTTAAAAATTTGTGCAATACAATGGTTACATTAGATATTACTTGCGGAGTCTCTCAGGGCTCTATGTTAGGTCGCCTGTTACTCTTATTATATATCTACGGTCACGATTGACTTCAAATTTGCAGATATAAAACTAGAGAGCTCTTAGGCTTATTTGCTGAGGTTAGAGAAAAATCTATCATAGGGTTTCTAAATTATTGACATTTTTTGTAAAAATGCGGTTTTAAATATATACCGATATCTAAAACCTTTTTATACCTTCAAGAAGATAAATAACATTTTCTTAAAGTTCGACCATTCTTTATTAAGGATGCCAAACATCATAGAAATCGGTTAAATCTTTCCTATCGAAAAACGCGATTCAAAAACATAACCAACGCGCATATAAATATAAGTTCGGGCCACCTTAACATGGAAATCACATAGACATAATGTTGCAAGGAAAGTGTCTAAAGGGCTGAAAGGGCTAAAGCTGTAATAAATCATCTGTAAGTAACACCAAAGAAAATTTCTCATGGAAGCCCAAGAAAATGAATGTTAAATTTCACAGAATTACATCTTACACATGAAATTTTCAGAATTTTGTCTGTGTAATCACAATTCTTGTGAAATTTGACAGTCATTTTCTCGGACTTCCATGCGAAATTTTCTTTGGTGTTACTACAGATGATTTATTACATCTTTAGCCCTTGAAAAATTGTAAAAAGAATGCAATGTTCTTTAAATTATTCTGGTACAAGAATTTGTCCACTGATAATCAAAATTACTCAGTTTCCTGGTGGATATTCCGTCTTAATTTCATATAAAAACAGGTTGTAAGAATAATGTTGAGGAGTGCTTTCAATGCTCACACTGACCCTTTATTCAAAAAGTTAGGAATTCTGAATCTTGAGAGTATCTACAAACTTCAAATAGGAAAATTTATGTATCAGTAATGTGTTTTTGGTGATAAGCCAGCCGCATTCTTATGGCACTAGACGTTCGGAGCTTTTTTATTTACCACATTGCAGGACTAATATAAGAAAGTTCTCCATCACTTTCTAATGTCCTAAATTTTTCAACTCTCTTAGTTTTGAAATTCGAAATGCAGAAAGAACCGCTTCCTTTTGCTGTAAGCTAAAAGCATTCCTCTTATCATAAATATTTATTTTCTTTTTCTTTACCTCTGCTTTTTTAGCCTAACTTTGAATAATATGATTATCTAATATATTTTAAGATTTACTGTAGTTCTGTCATTGATTTTTGCATGTATAATTCTGTTAATATTTTGTCGTAATAATTTGGCTTCCTTGGGCTTCTTCGCCATTAGGTTTTTAAATATTTAGATTATTTTGTCTTTTGTACATCCTTATGGCAAAATAATAAACTTAAACTGAAACTGAAACTGACATTTCCCAGTTTACCATTGTTTTAAATATCCCCGTCTAATTTCCATTCTTAAAAAAACATTCGAAAAATCACAGCTGAAATCATCTAAAAATTCTCGGACATTTCTGAACCGATGACGGCCCTATTAAGCCATTTTGGACTGAATTAAATATTGGCTAGGTTGTGAAATGAGCAGAATTCCTGTATTGCTGTAAGAAAACAGGAAAAGAGTGTAAAAATCAACCGAAGAGAGTGAGAGGGAGAGATTTTACGAAGCTTTAAAAATTTAAAAAATTTGCACTGAAGTATTTGTACGAAAAACAAGAGAGAATTAGGAAATCAATCTCTCTTGATGGAAAACCATGCTTCTAAATTTCGACGACCCTAGGAGTGTTACTTTTAAGTCATAAGCCATTAATTACAGCTATGTCGAGAAAGGTTCTCGAAAAAAGTGCACACGACAATCCCGAAAGGTATTGTGGGTGGTTTTGAGTTCACTGTTCTTCAAAAAATTTGAACGAATGGCACGGTCACGAGAGGCCATAGACGTATATTTGCGAATGCTAAAGAAAAGCAACAATTTATTATAGAAGATTCGACAGCTGCATTGTCAGGAACAGCGAATTGATCATATCCCATATTACCTTCCGGGATTGTCGCACGTGCACTTTTCTTCCACAAAAGGGGCAGGCCATAATTCATAAAGTTGATCCACAATGGAGCCACCAGCCTATTTATAAACGACCAGGAAAGCTTAGGTTTTCAGGAAATTGCAGGACAGCTTTGTTGACGTCAAAGGAATCGAAAAATCCGTACATGATGTCTAATCTCAATAAATCAGCACTAATGGTAATGACGAGGCGTGCCTGTTATTCTTTCAAAATGTTATACAATGAAAGTTTGAAAGAAAATTTATGAGGCAAAAACTCATTTTGTATTGAAGTATTATCTAACCACCAAGTAACTTAACATACCTCTTGAAGTGCTTTTTTTCTTTTTTTGTGTGTGTGTGTGTGTGTCTGTGTGGCCGACAGACGGGCGCCATTCGTGGACGTTTGGAATTTTTTTGGAACTGATCAGTCAGTCAATGCTGGAGCAGCTTCTACGCATTCCGGTCACCTGCCGTAATGCATCAGCAAATGCGTACAAATCTCTCTCTATTTTAAGCCGACACAAAGTCATATCCATCGCAGATATTGTTCTTAAGCCCACACAATTCATGTGCAGCTGGTTGACAACATAACATATTTTTAAGATCGAGATACTCTCGGGGACAGAAGGAGGTTTGGGAGCCCTTCCCCCCCCCCCCCC